TGACGATTTTTTGCCAGGTCATGTGTAACATTGCAATGTGGTTAGCTTGAGGGAATCAGACGGAGGTGTGGGGGGAGGGGGGGGGTAACTACCAGTCATGGGTATGTGTAAGTACTGTACTGTACTGTGTAAGTACTGTACTGTACTCCCATATGCTGTGATTATATTTCAAACCATATATATCACTTACATATACATTACATCAATTTCCAAGGCATCCTATAGATAACACTCCTTAACAGATGGGTGATAATTAACGATTATTATACGTATGTAATAGTTATTTTGATTCACATTGTAGGTATAACATACCTCAAACTGTACTTGCCTGTACTATAATTTACATGTGTCGAAGAGGATTGATAGTTTTAAGAGCTTCAGTAAGGTTCAAAGAATAGCCAAAGGGGGTTTCTAAATATTGGTATCGCCATATCAATATCATGTGCTCACTATAATAACACTGACCAGTAACAGAATGCTAAATACTGTACTGTACTACACTGCAGTATACATTAAGTACAGTATAGGTGATTTCTGCCAGAGGGGCGAACAGCAGAATGAGTGGTCTAGGGGGCGAAAAAAAATATGAATAAAAATATAAAAGGAAAAGCTTATATTAATCTACATCACGATGTTGGATAACCAGTTTAAAGATCTTACTGGTTATTACAAAAATACATTAAAAATTTCTTAATTGATTTTATTACTACTGCAGTAGTAGTATACCATAACACGGCATAACAAATTAACAAGATTTGCATTGCTGAAGATATTTTAACCTGCAGTTTTTTCCTTGGACTCTGACAGTGTCTGCCCAAATTACAGTAGTCCTAGTTAAAGAACTTCAATGTAAAATTTTAGATAAAAATTCTGGGTCTGTATTATATAATTAGCTGCCACTATTGTCAGGAGTATCTGACAAATAATGTTCAATTTGCTCAGAAATTCTGCCTTGCAATCATAGTTTCATATTACAGTAGTTGCTTCAGTCTACAACATTTCCAAAGTGTCTCCATTGATGATGCTTCAAGTTCTGAATATGTTAGGAAATGTGAAACATGCTGTTGGACAGACATCACTCAAAGAACTGAACAGAACAACCTGTGAATGGTACTGTACACTGTTGTATATTAATAAGGTTGACAGAGCCAATGTAATATTGAAAGACATACAGGGAAAATTAAAGTATATTCAAAGAAGATATTGCCACCTTTTTTCACGTGTTTAGGCAGTGCCTGCCTGTGTTTGTTATTCTTACATTTCACAATTACTGAACTTTATTTTGTGATAATAAGTTGGGTCAAGTTTTCTTTTTTGCCTTTCTACTTTTAGTTGATGTTAAGTGAAGTTGAAACGAGTCATGTATCCTAATATATGAGAGTTGTCTGGATTGGTTCTTTTGGTTCGTTTTTTTTGTTCAGTTAGGTTTGGTAAAAATTTATTTATCCATTTTTTAATGTTCTTGAGAATAGGAAAAAGTTTTCTTCTGTTGAAGAGTGTAAAAATGTTGCTCATTAACCTGTGCATCTTTTGTGAAGTAGCTATTACGGAGCATGGTAACTCTTTAAAGTTTTCAGTTAATAGTTAGGTTTGGTTAGGTTGGTAATTGTGAAATGTGAGAATAGCAAACATTAGGTTGGCACCGACTATATGCGTGTAAAAACAAACACACAAGGTTATGGCTACTTTGTAAAGCGTACATAAGATGGAGTGACTTCAGACAGTGGTGGAGTTTTTACAAGGTGCAGGTTAAGTCACCCAGAGATGGGGTGAAGACTGTGTTAATTCAATGGCTGTACTGTACTTGTTAAGAGCCTGGCCAGATAGTCTGGGGGTGGCTTTGGATATTAATGAACGAAGGAAAATAATGGGGCAAAAACCTGCAGCAATAAAATTACATACTGTACAGTAAACGCATATGGGTCATCAAATAGAGAAGAAAATTGTATTCTGTGAAAATAACCTGCTATATGGTTCTGTTAGGAGCTTATTTTTTAAGACTGTACATTAGAAGAGGCAGCAAAACAAATTTAACAGGGCACCGGTGCCCAGTACAGTACTGTACAAGTTTTATATAGTGACAGTATTATTATGCAATCTTGCAAATATATATGAATATTTGGATTGTGTCTCCCAAATCATTTTTGAGCTGTTAAGTCTCCCCAAGTTGAAGACAATTTTCATATCCCTCCTTCATGTCACATTTTCAGGTTGTATAGGAACCTGAAAATGTATAGAATATATAAAGCAACCCAGGATTGACAAGTTTTTAATATTTTTTCACTGTACAGGTACTCCTCGACTTACGACCGCCCCAGTCGTACCAAATTGTTTTCAAATTACGTATTTTCGAGTCCCGACGTTGGTGATTGCATTGTGAACTGACAAAATTTTCGTTTGTAATTCCCTTTAAAATGGTTGGCAAGCTTAAAAGTGAGAGTTTTGTGGTGCTGAGAAGAAAAAGAGACACCCATTTTATATTTTATATGTATTATTTTCGCATTTTCGACTTACCACCTGGATTTGGGTCCCTAACCCCGTCGTAAGTCGGGGACTGCCTGTAGTTTATTACTTTATGTACTCTGGTACACTTGTGTTAAGAGCGTTTTGTAATACAGTATTTGAAGTTTTTGGAAAAAACCCCCGAGTCTCTTTTTGTAAATAGTAATGGTGATATCTCCATTACCCGGAACAATTGGTACAGAGTATTTCCAGGAATGAGAGATTTCCGGGTAACAAGACGACTCTCGAAGTCGGAAAAAATTTGCCATCCCCGGAATTATCTCAAAATTTTCCAGAATACTGTAATTCATTATTTTATTTTTCAAAGCCGGAAAAAATACCTCATCCCCGGAATTTTCTGGGTATCAAAAAAGATTTTCTCGGAATTTCCGGACAATGCTCCTGATTTTCATCTCTCAACCCCGGAATAGAAATCTCCCATCTCCAGAATTTTCCGAGTACCGGAAAATATTCTCAGAATTTTTCAGAAAATGTCCCCCTTGGAAAATCATTCCCAAAGCCGCAATTTTCTGGAAAATTCTGGCTTTGAGAACGATTTTCCGAGAAAATTTCAATTCCGGCTATCAGAGAATTCCGGTTAAGAGGGATTCTGGTTAACAGATCTATTAGTATCTCTGTTAGCTGGAATCCCCATTGGCCGGAGCTCTACAATACCCAGAATTGAAATTGGCTCGGATTTTTTCCAGAAAAATTCTTTTAATTCTGGTTCTGTGAATGAGTTTCCGAGGTTGAAAATCAGACAGTGCGTCTGGTTTCCAGAAAATCTCTTTTTTGGGGGGGTCTGGGAGCAAGTTCCGAAGATGAAATAATGATTACGGTAATTCTGGTAAATTCCGGAAACCTCTCCCCATTTTTTTTCTGGGACTGGGAGCAAATTTTGAGGATGAAATGATGCACAATTTCCGGAAAATTCCGAGAAACTTTTCCCAGTTCCCGGAAAAGTTACGGAGATGTGGGATTTCTCCAGGTTTGAGAGAGTCGTCTCATTACCTGGAAATATCTCATCCCTGGAAGAGTTCTGCAACAATTATTTTGGCTAATGGAGATATCACTTATACTGTAAAGTTAGAAGTTCAATACCGGAATATAATTTCTGTCCACAGTAAAAAATAAGTAAATCATCATGACTTACACAAGCTACTGTCTCTGAAATCATATAAAGATTATTTCCATTTATAACTAAAAATAATCTATGGTTCCTGAGCTACGGTAGTATGAATAATTAGAATGATTAATTTTAATGATTTTTGTGACTTTATTTCATGATGATAGGTTAGGTTAGGTTTTCTTTTTGGTTTTTCTTCCTACTTGAAGTTATGGCAAGGTGAAAAGGTCAGGTATCTTGTTATACAAATCATCAGGGTTGGTTCTTTTGGTTTTTCTCTTTTTGGTTAGGTTAGCTTGGTGTTTTTGATATGTAAGGACAGCAAATATGGGGAGGCACCAACTGTACTCATACTAGAAATACATGGTAATACTCACTTTGTAAAACAATAATACAACACATCAATATTTCCTCAAAATAACCTAATTTTAGGCACTGAAACCAAATTGTGAAAACTTCAATGGAATCTTATAATGGGAATTGTAATGCTAAAAGTACAATAAGATTAATTGTCAACAGTATTAAACTAATAAATCATCAGGGTTTACACAAGTGACTTGATATAATATAATGATGATTGTCATTTAAAATTAATCTGTGGTTGCTGAGCTGGTGTGAACTCTTAGCATGGTTAATCTTAATGATTTTATTGACTTGGTGAAGGGCTGTATTTTAGAGTTTCACCAACCACGTTAACAATACCAGAAGTTCCAGGAACAGTGATATTTTGAATAACTTACATGTTATCATCATCTAAGTCTTATATAGTGATCATGGGGTCATAAAAGGGTCATGTAAAATAAGGAAGGGCAACAGTCTATTGCCTGAGACCAAAACTATATTATGAGACCATATACAACTGTCAATTGAGTTAAGTAATGTTACTTACACTGTATTATGTGGCTGTGTACACCTACAGTATCTAACACTCTATAATTTGGTTTAAACATGAAAGAATATCTTTGGGTAGGTAACTTTATTCAACAGAGATGTTGATTCTGTACAGTACTGCTGCACTTGAACTCATCAAGGTCCACTCTATGTACTGCTTTTAAGCCAAATATCTGGTGGCACTGTAATCTTCTTTTTCTCTTTAAACATGTTTGTTTGCTTATCATACTGGGTACTGTTCATTCATAAGTGGATTTTCCTTATAAAAATAACAGAATATGTGGCTTGCAAAAGGCTTACCCCTCTCACTAAAATAGTGCAGTATTGGTGACTTTCCCCTCAATTATGGGATATCTCCTAAGTTATGGGGTGAACAAACATTTTGCATACCATTTGAATTTGGGGAGTAGAGTGGGGCCCACAAATTGACTTCAAACATACAGCCGTTACTGCCAAAAGTTGTGGGTTTTTAAAACACAACTTAAAATGAATACAAATTATTATTTAAGCTAAACTTAAGACAATGTACTGTACAAACATAACACCATAAGTGTTTTATTCTTTCAGCATAACACTTTTATGCAACACTTCTGAAAAAAAATCATCACATGCATAAATAGTATTTTACACTATAAAATTACACGTACAGTACTGTACAATACAGGTACATGTACATTATTAATGAACTAAACTAATTTAACATAAAAAATGCAGAAGTACATACGGGCAGTCCTGGGTTAAGTATGAGTTATGTCCCTACGGATGTTCATAAGTCAAAACATACCCTATGTGCATACCGTACTTACAGAACAATGTTTAAATTCGCACTATATCATAGCCTAAGTCCTTATATACTCCTAAAATCACTTAATTTAAGAGGAAAGATGAAAAAGAATGACAAAATACTGTACAAGTAATCCTCGAGTTACGACCGTCCGACTTACGAACACCCACACTTACGAGCAGGATCCCAATAGCTACATTTTCCTTATTCTATATTGTTTAACATCAATTTATTTACAGTATTTACATTATTTGTTATGTAGGGAATATTACTGTTGTTTCGTATGGGTAAGGTTGTGCCTTAACATAACTTAAACTACGGAATTAACACTGTTCTGACTTACGAACAACTCGACTTACGATCAGGTTCCAAGAACGTATCCCTGTCCTAAGTCGGGGAATGCCTGTACAGTAAAAACAAAAAACAAAAGCATAAAACATCAGGTAAATAAAATATTGTAAATTTAAAGCTTAACTTCATGGGATCTTGTTTGTATCGGCGGATGTTCCTAAATCAGACGTATGTAACCTGGGTACCTCCTGTATACACTTGCATAATACCTTATATTATGTAACATTAATAAGCCTCCATTAAACTGAATGCACTTTATTGATTAAAATAAAATAAAACAACATACAGGCAGTCCCCGGGTTACGTATGGACATTCTTGGGTCAAAACACATACCCTATGTTCATACCTTACTGACAGAACAAAGTTTAAAATCCCACTATATCATAGCCTAAGTTCTTATATACACACAAAAAACCCCACCAAATTTAAGAAAACAAGAGGAAATAGAATGACAAAATACAGTAAATGGAAGTAAAAAATAAGTCTGATGATGGTAGTAGGCAGCTACCAAACAAGGAAGTACTACCGCTTCGGAGGATATTGGAAGCATAATGTGTTGTCTAATGTGCCTGGTGGACAAATCCTGCAAAAAAAAGAAATATATATTATGGGACCTCGTTCATATCGGCAGATGTTCGTAAATCAGATATACGTAGGTAACCCGCGGACCTGCTACTGTACACCACACACAGGTGTTTATACACATGCATAAAATACCTATTAAAATACAATATTCACTTGTTAATTGCGACTGATTGGTTCATGATAAACCCTGTGGTTGACAAATCTGCTGTTGGCAAGACTAAAGGCTTTTGGAAAATAAGGGGTTAGGTTCCATGACTGCAGATAACACTTGTCAATTCCTGAGTTGCCTGTTCTTTCACTAAACCAAACCTGTAAAGTACATTTAATTAAATTTAAATTAAGTACATATAAAATAGATTAATATAAATTAAAAATAAATATAAATTTTACAGTACAGGAATATTTACCCACTGACGCTATACTCTCCCCACCTGCTAATCTATCAAGCATTTCTATTATTTTCTGTCACTACTTTCCTTGCCCTTTGCATTTTCTTCTCACCTTTATCACTAACTCTCAATGAATGCTTTGGGCAAAATCAATGTTATTACAGTAGAAAATAGTCCAGAGGATACAGAGCTATGAGAACGCAACACTGGGAGAGAGTGGCGGGAGATTGGACATTGTACGGAGGAATACCGAACGTTACTGTTAAACTATGGACGTTGTGCTAATCTGTGGATAAAAAAGACTTAATGCCGTGGCTGGTGAAATGGTATACAGAGTAAAATCTGTGGATACATGGAATCCACAGTTGGTGAGGGTCTACTGTATATGGAAACATATGCATAATAATAAAAGACCTTACAATCACATTTACCTGAGTGATCATAATAAAATAAACAATCTCTTATAGTACTCCACAAAATACACTCAATAGTGAATCTGGACTTCAAGAGACAATTAATTAAATATCTGCAAATTTTTCATGGGGACAATAAGTACCGTAATGCAATACCTTCAAACTTTTCAATACAGGTACCTGAAATGTTACAGTATGGTATTGGAACACATAATTTCTGAATTCCTGAATTTAAATGCTGCACACAATTTAACAAAGAATCAAGTGCAGAATTTCACTTACAATCAGTCATTTTCTAGCAGACACTGTATCAAGAAAATTCTACCATAACTTTTTATAGTATTACACTGAATAGCACCATGTACTGTACTGTACTGTACTGTTCAACCATGAGACTTGTAACCACCTTATAAAGAGAGTTTTTTGTCTATGTTCTCTATAATACAGTTGGTCACTTCCACATTCCTGCAAAAGTATAATTATTACAGCCTGCACATTTATAACCACTCAATACACAGTGGCTCTCACACACAAACCTGCAAGAGCATTACTTATACAGAATGACCATTAAAAGATAATAAGTGCACAGCAGCTCTTTCTACTGGATATAATACTGTTACAGTGGTTTATTGAACAAAGTAATACCTTTCACACAGTAATAAATTCCACAATGTTGATATATCCACTCACCACAATGTTGATATATCCACTCACCACAATGTTGATATATCCACTCACCACAATGTTGATATATCCACTCACCACAATGTTGATATATCCACTCACCACAATGTTGATATATCCACTCACCACAATGTTGATATATCCACTCACCACAATGTTGATATATCCACTCACCACAATGTTGATATATCCACTCACCACAATGTTGATATATCCACTCACCACAATGCTGATATATCCACTCACCACAATGTTGATATATCCACTCACCACAATGTTGATATATCCACTCACCACAATGTTGATATAGCCACTCACCACAATGTTGATGGGTATGGTGCACAATATTGTTAACGCAGGTAATCCTGGAGGAGATGGCTAACACCACAAGGCGTTGATCAATTTCCTTCCTCCTATCCACAGACATTCTTATCATTAAATTAAGTATTTTAAAAGAAGTGACATTTATTAGAACCTAATAAAACCTGACCTAATGAACCAAAAAAAAACTCTACCTAACCTTACCTAATTTCCTGTCGAGGGGGGGGAGGGATCCCCCCCACCATATTAAACAGAAAGTACTTATTTTGGTATCTGGTACTAATGAGAGCAACGTTGAAGCATTATGGTGTAATTTTAAAATTTTTGTGGATGTGATAATACGCTAGGTATAACACTTGACATCATCACTGTTGGCAGAGAATACTGCCTGATTTTCACTTGATATTGGTAACTGTATATGCTACTGTGATGCGATGTGGCGCTGTGACTACCCCTCCACTCATAAGTTCCTAGCAGCAAATATTGTACAGTATATCACTGGGGATCTCTCACCTTGCGACAGGCTCAGGTCACACCACCAAACACAGATGGGCCTCATGGTGACCATTCTTAGGGCAACAAGGTCACAGATAAAGGTTCTCCAAATTCCCCTCGTTCCTTCCCTCACCAACTCTGGGATACCAGCCTCACAAGATTCCTGCAAAAATAACCAATATTTTTACTGCTTATACCTTCAGTGATCTACACATGTTTACACATAATATTCACCTTTACCCAGCAAGTCAGTCAAATACTTACTTTAATTACAACGATAATTCTCAGGAAGTCGGGGCTAGGAAGTCGGGGATGACGATCTTTGTTTACAATAATTTCACGGCTCAGCAGCAGACAGAGTGACCAACCCCCGTGACACACTATTTCAGGAGTACCACACTCGCCAAATTCAAATATTATTAAACCCTCCCCTATAACATACTATATATATATATATATATATATATATATATATATATATATATATCAATACCCCACCAGCTGTGATCCTGGTAGCCGGAGGTGTGCTGATTATATGTAGAAGTCCGTGTTTATTGGGCTAATGAAATATATATATATATATATATATATATATATATATATATATATATATATATATATATATATATATATATATATATATATATATATATATATATATATATATATATATATATATATATATATATATATATATATATATATATATTTTATATATATATATATATATATGTATGTAAATATATATATATATATATATATATATATATATATGTATATATATAAAGAATAAATTTGTCTTTAAATTACCATAGAAACAGGGAAAGGTTAAATGTACAAGTACGGTAAAACTAGTTATCAAGGCTATTACCTTAGCAATTGGGCAAATTAGAATACAGGTACAATAGGTATTGTGATAAACCCCTCTTCCCAGCATTTATATTCCAATGAAATGTTCAGACTATAGTTGTGGAGACAGTTTACTAGTGCTGTAGTAAGTACCACGTGAAGAACCATAATTATCTCAACTTGTCGATGAGTTTCATAAACCTTTAATCTAACACTGGTTTATGTTTTTACAGGTTGAGGCATCAGTACATGGTAAGTACATATTGTCGGTTTTAGAGCTGTAGGGTTATATTATAGGGCACAGTTTTGAAACACTATATACAGTCAATGATTTATTTGTTCCAGGGATTAAAAACTCACTAATACAATATTTAAGGTTTATAAAGTGGGGATAGACTTTACATACTGAGTCTTGCTTTATCCGGGAGCAGATTTTATTTTAATTTGTTTATTGTTGCAGTTTACTAACACTGCTGACCGTTCAGTACTGGAGACCTCGCGGTGGTAATGTCAGGTACTGAGATAAATCAAGACTTATAGCCATGTTAGCTCTAAGGTTAGGTTAGGTTAGGTTAGGTTAGGTTTGTTTAAAAGTATATTTAACACTTA